TAGGTCAATGCTTAATCACTGAGCCACACCGGCCGGGCACTGGTTGATTCTTGCATGTACCTTGACAGGGATCCCACAACCTTGGTGTATCTTGACAATGCTCTAACCACTGAGATACCTGGCCAGGGCTGCCAATACTCTTGTTGGTTTGTGTGCCAGCAGCTTAAGTTAGATCACCATCTGAGTAAAGCGAATGCAGAGAGAACATGGCTGGGCTACTGCCCACACAGGGAAAAGGGGCTCTGGCTCTCTTACCATACCGGAGCATGGATTAAGAAATTAGAAGAGAGAGCAAAAACGGAACACCAAATTTGACCTACGGCCTATCATAGAGACCCTGCCCAGTATTAAAACTGTGGCTCAAGTAACATGAGTCTAACCAACCAGATCAGATCATTGTTCCTTACATATAGTTAGAGGAGAAAAGCAAAAGCTCTCTCCTCAGTATCTCCCCTCATGGAAAATAAGACTGGAATCCCCTCTCCTATTGGTTGAGGCTGCCATGTGAGAAGCACAGACATCAAATTTCCTTCAGAAGTAATGATCAAGGTTCTATTTAGAAGTTCTACTTAGGGTCTCCTGAATTCATGGAATAGAGTCACTAAAATTAAAGCAGAGAAAAAAGGAGAAACTCTCTCTCTCTCTCCTTAGTCCCTTGCTTATCAGCTCCATTCTTCATTTACCCAGGCCCCCACTTCACCTCAGTTGGCTTCCTCTTCTGGGTAGCAGTTAGTGTAACACCTACTTGCAATTATCTAAATGGAAACTTCAGATCTTGAGTCCATTTGACCTTTCAGCTCCAGCCTCCACCATTAACTGACCACCTTTTTCTGATTTAGTTCACATCGCATCAGATCAGTTCCTCTTTAAGCCACTAGGGGGGCTATCTCCCTCCTGCATATACTAACTTCTTAGGAGTACCTAAAATGAGGCTTTAAAACATGAGTCAAAAATGGTTCTGAGCCCTGTGGATGATAAAGGGGCCACATACTAAACCTGACAAGCTGAGGGGAGGCCTGCATGGCAAGTCTTACAAACTCAGAGACCTCAAGTAACCACATAGGGTGGTCTGAAATTAAAACTTTCTAACTAAGAACTAGTCATGGTGGGTAGTCATGTCCTAGGCCGCTGTCTTTGCCCACAAAGGACAAAGGTCAATCTTTACCTTAACTGAGTCTATGGTCTTTTTGCATCTATGATAACATACCTTTGGAATGTCAGGATAATTTCCCTTTTCCAGACCCCTCAAGACACAGTCACTGCACCCGAGCACAAGACCACAGAATCCCTCACTGTTATTGTTATCATGTTAATTGTTAAGTATTCTGTACCCACCGATGTAAAAGAAGTATTTGTCTCATCATTTGCTCTTTATCCATTCTCAGAGATCTCCCCGTTTTGCTTTCTCCATCCTCCCTAATCTATCATCAACCAATTTCATGTAACCTTCCATACATCTCCTCCTTTGAGTCTGACCTATAAAGTAAGTGGTAAAACTGCTATGTCCCAGAGCATTTTCTCAATCCATTGAGATTTTGCTTGCTGGCAATTGTGGTTAGTTTGGCTCAAATAAACTCAAAAACATTCTCTACAGGTTTAGACGTTTCTTACATCAACAGCCCAATTCCAACATATGTGTATGAGGCAGCGGAGGGAGGGGGGGTGCTCCTATATCACCAAGTGATGCTCAGGACATCAGCAGGTGTCCTACAACTTGACTCAATGCTGACATTATTTACCCAAAGACAGCATCAAATTCCACAGTTGAAGGAGCTCAGTCCTACAAGGCACCCACCCCTTCAATTCAGACACAAGTTGCAAGTTCAGGTGCTTCTGTGGTTCCCATAAACCTCTCCTTGGGTTTGATTAATTTGCTAGAGCAGCTCATAGAACTCAGAGAAACATGTTACTTATTAGATGACTGGTTTACTACAAAAGGATATAGCTCAGAAATAGCCACATGGGAGAGAAGCATAGGGTCCATTCCAAGTGGTCCACTCTCCCTAAATCTCCACATGGGTCACTAGACCAGAAGCTCTTTGAAACTTCTCATTTCGTTTATTAAAGAGGCTTCCTTATCACATCTGCAGGATTGATGTATCTAACCTCCAGCCTCTCTCCCCTTCCGGGAGGTTGCGGATTGGGACTGAGAATCACCTCAACGTAACAAAGGACACCTTTACAGCTCTCTCCATTAGGAAATTCTAAGAATTTTAATACCTCTGTTCAAAAAAGGGACAAAACCAAATATATATTTCTCATAAATCACAATATCACAAGTTATAAAATACTGACCAAACCTGAGCCAAATCAGGCAAAATGTGAGCATTGAGGGCAGCAGGGGCCAAAATGAGCTGTTCCGGAATGCCCACTGCATTTACTGGTAGTTGCTCTAGTCTATACCATACTTTCTGTTCTGCCAAATCCGACTGAGCAGAACAGGCAGATAGCAAAGCTTCCAATTAATTAATTCATCTGAGCAAAGTCTCCATTTTCAATTTATTTCCTATTTCTCCTGATTCTTTTCTCACTGAGTAATCTATAAAGATCTAAAAACAAAACTTTATCCCTGCCAGCCTGACTCAGTGGTTGAGCATGGACCTATGAATCAGGAGGAGGTCATTGTTCTATTCTGGTCAGGGAACATGCCCCAGTTGTGGGCTCCATCACCAGTGTGGGGAGTGCAGGAAACAGCCAATCAATGATTCTCTCTCATCATGGATGTTTCTATCTCTCTCTCCCTCTCCCTTCCCCTGTGAAATCAATAAAAATATATTTTAAAAAATCAAAACAAAACTTTATTTGAAAAAAGTCAATATTCAGTAAATGGAATAATTTTAACATGACTGCCAATAATTTTTCATGCGCCTAACTTTTTTATGCCAGAGGAAATGATTGATTTGACCAAGTTGGTGCATAATAAATGATATTGTTATAACTTATATTCATGTTTAATTTGCCATTTTAAATAAAATTATTGCCAATAAAGGTCATCAAGCTTTCTATCATTTTTTACTGATCTCAGTGAAATTCTATACATGCACAAAGACCATCTGAGTACATAGAAGGTTTCACTGGATAGCTTTAGAGTTATCAGAACCCGTAGTGTTAGTAGTCATGTCTCTCAAATGTAAACACATACTACAGTTCAATTAACTATGCAAGAAAATAAGGTTCAAAAAAAGAAAAGAAGTTTCAAATCAGAACAAAAGTGTTTGCTTTAAACATACTTTTTGTGAGCAGCTTTAGAAATATAATTTTAAAAATTGCAATTAGAAAGAAACAATAATAAACATAACCTAATATAGTGTCTGACCCATGAAAGGTACTCAATAAATGTCTGGCTTAAATGAATGGTCACAGAGAAAACAAATAACACAATGTGGGATATATATGTACATATATATGAAGAACTATAGAATAACTAACTTTACAAAGAAGAGATAGAAGAACATGCTTTTACATTCAAGGGATTCAAAAGATGATAAAATAAATAATGTTCAAGTCGTTGCTGCAAAGGTAGAGGAAAATCACTTAGATCAATGTATGAATGTTTTATTCTCCATTATTGATTTGAACTAATAGGAACTATTAAAATCCAAGAATAATTAGTTTTAATGTATTGAGGAAGGAGGAAATTTTAATTAAATTTTGCAAACAATAAATCTCATTTAAGTGTGAATTAATCATAAAAATGCTAGTATAAGTTGAAAAAAATGAAGAGCATTGAAAAAAATTAAAAATAAAAAGACAAAATTAATTTATAAAGACAGAGCATACCAATACAATAAATACCAATAATGCAATAGTAGAGAAACACAACAGGAAGTCAGGAAGGAATTAGTTTCACAGTAATAGATTTACAGAAAGAGAAAATGTCTAAAACAACCATTAGGAAATTTCCTGGAGTAATGTGGGTTAACAGCTGCAAGTGACATTTATTTTATAGAAAACACACACCCCATCGTATGGCCTCTGCATAAGAAAGGTTTATCTAGAGTTGGCATTTGCTTTTTGTTGAATTCCTTATGGAGAGCTAAATCTAAATAAAGAATTTCAACTTATGATTTTTAAATTGTGTTTACAGTAATTAGTATATGGAAGATGAAAGGTCAAAGAAAAAAATAACATTTAAAAAATTACGTATCTCTCCATCAAAGTGCTTCATGTAGTTCCAAGTCTTTTCAAACAATCTATAAGATGACACAGCATCAACAAAGATCAAAGAATGATATTATCTTCCTTACTAAATCCCTTTTCTTTTTGATAATGGAGAGAAAACTAAACATCATAAAGCTCTTCCTTTGAAAGCGGAACTCTTAACTTTGAAAATTGGGGAGCGGGGTGGTCATTTTTATGAGGCAAATAATTCAAACTTTTTAAAGGGACATTAATTTGTCCATGGCACCATGAGCATAATTTGCTAATTTACCTCTGCAGCAAATGTCATATTTTATTAGTGGCCTGAAATAGTTAATACTTTCCTCTTCCCTGGCAGGTGCCTACTTTCCTGACATACTTAATCTGTTCTTTACAACGGAAACTCAAAATTGTGTGGAGAGGAACAAAGTGACACCTTATCTTCACCCACAAGTGTGACGCTAAACACGATGACAATTGTGCCAGACAGTAGAGACTCATTCCATATTTGCATTCTAACATCACTTACACATGCTTTGACGTAACTAGTCCTTTAAACATTCAAGGTTAAAGTGCTTCTGATTAACTGCAGAACTGGTATTAAAGTAAAATGCATGCTTTCTTTTGGTTCTGTTTTATTTTTTATAATCTTGGGCTAAACATCTGACCAGAGCTGTACCAAATCACACCAGTTGCAGAGCTAGGCTGTCTCTGCATTTATTGGATAGTAAGAGGAATGAGGGTCTGTGGTTGTGTTTTCCCAGCCTCTGACTTTCACAGTCTTCTGGGTTATCAATGAGTATTTAATAAACAAGTGGCTGAGGGGAGGGAGGGACAGAAGGATGGATGGAGGAAAGGAAGGAAGAACAACATAATTTTTATTATCTCAAAAATCACTGGGCAAAACAAGCCAACCAAAGGTTATATGAATTTTCTGGGGCACAGTAGGCCAGCAGTCCCCCACATGAAAAGTAAGTGGACTTCCATCTATATTTTCTTGAGGTTTAAAATTTCTCATATATAATGAAGACACACACACACACACACACACACACACTCACACACACACACTCATACCTTTACTCCGTGATATCCAAAGGAAATACTCATAGCACATGATCCAACCAATCCTCACATAACTTCAATGGGAGACAACCGGTCATTTCCAGCCACCGCACACAGAAGTGAGATACTGGTCTTCAAGTCCAGGACCTGTGGTTTATTATGACCTCTTCAGTTCTGTCACAATCCCATCTCAATATTCTACAGCCTTTGGACTACATGATGAATTCAACCATTCCTTAGGTAATAGTATATTTCCTTGGAAGAAAGAGAAAAGAAAAAAAATTTGTTATGCCTCTCCTTTAAAAAGGAAACGAGAATAAATAGTACGCTCAGCAAGGAAATATTGGTGCAAGCTACAGCCCTCTGTTCTGCAGGCATTCACAAGACGGCTGCTGACATATATGATAGATTCCTTCTCTGTTTGTTCCAAGTTCTCCTGGCTTTCAGCCAACACCACAGCTTGCCAAGGATCTTTTCCCTGATTGCACAAAGAATTCAACAAGTCCAGGTGATAGTCTCAACTATCAATTTAATAAAGACTCCATTTTTTTTCACCCCCAGGCGTTCTCCACTGAGAACTAAATTCTTTAGGCTAAAAGACTTAAATAAATTTAAAGAGTTAAAGCAAAACTTCTGAAAGTGAAAGAGTGATGTAATTATGAGAGATGCCTTCACCCCTAGGTCCTAGGTGGCATTCCATTCTGGCTGTGAAACAACATTAAATGTGTGGGTCACTGTTTCCGCTCATGTTCTACAACATAGCACTCTGATATCACAAGGTGCTAGCTACGTCTTAAGATAGTGGTGTGGTTAAGTTTCCAATTGGTCATTCCAATGGAGCCTAGCTTATCAAGATGATTGGATATTTTATAACGTACGGCCAGGCAGTTAGTAGCCTACTGGGTTGCAATGCAGTGAGTTCATCGATCAGAAGCCGTGTATGGAATCCTGCGATGCTTTAGAGGCATGTAAGCAGAGAAAGCAAATCCAAATCCACAAAATTATTCCAAGGATGATTAGCTGCTGCTCCTCCAGGAGGAAGGGGCATTCCCAACTCAAAATAACTGATCTGCTACAGAGTAGTAGGCCAGGTCCCCTAGAAGGACATTGCTGGTCACTGTTGCTTATCAGTCTTGAGGAAAGAAAATGTATGCTGTTGAGTCCAAGCATCGCCGCCATTCTGATCCTCATAGTTGTTATGTCCATGAACCAACAGACTAGCTGGAGAAGGAAAATGACTGACTCCCCAAGAAGAAATCATCTGTTCCCTAGTTACTGAAACCTCTTCTGCAATGATGGCCTCTTAGTGTGCATTCACATAAACACTGACATTCTCACAGTCCGGGCCCATTCTGAAATGTCCATCCACTCTTCCCTAAAACCATCTTGTCATCAATTCTCCAGTCTTGATCCTTTCAGGTCCCTCACCATCTAGTCAGGCCAGGATTAAAAATTATCTAGTATGTACTTACTCAGCCTTAAGCATCTCTAAAATATTGCCACTGTCCCAACCAAGCTCCGTGCCCCAGTATATACACCATTGCCCAAGTCACTCTGGCCCTTCCCTCAGAGATCTCTCTGACCTCCCCACAATCCAGTGATGAAAGGGTTAAAGTCTGGCACAACAGGCGGTCTTCAGCCCCAATTTCAGTGCTAGATTCCAATTGCCTTAACTCAATTACAGATTTGAATAGCACCTCTGTGCTAAATAATTAGCTCAAGAGTTGCCATAGATCCTGACCTCAAGCAAAGTAGACCATAAAATGTTTCCTTCCAAAGTGGACAATAAAATTTCTGCTCAAAATTTAACACTGTGAGCATTTTTCTTCTCAGTTGTCCGTTCAGGACCACCCTGAAAAGCAGCAGGACTTCCTCTCATCTGCCTGGTGCCAGTACAGCATGCGAAGTTACTCTATCCCTGACCCATGCATCATGGGAAACTCCCTGTGAGGCTTAAGAAAGTAATATAGGAGTGCAAGTGCCTGCTCATTCAACTCACCTGTGTCTTCAGGCTTCTCATAGGCTCAGCCTCCATTGCTTACTCTTTCTTCTCAATCCACTGGATATGGATCACAGTTGCGAATGCCTGGCTTCATGGCTGAAGTTAAGACAACACCATTTCATGTTAGGCGTCAAAGTAATATGGCCATCTAATGCCAGATGGTTGATGATTCCGTTTCTATGTGAGCCTAGCCACAAAGCCAGGAGTCATTTCTCAAAATGAAGGGTCATCTGCTAAAGGGGCCTTTGCATTCTTCCCAACACAAAGGGTTTCCTCTGTGATGGTCTTGCGGGGGGTTGTCACAGGCTCCATATAGTCCTCAGATGGGTCACAGATGATACCAGCAGCACTGGATCCACAACTCACAAGGGCCAGGGCTCACCTTGCACCAGGCCAGCTGCAGAGCCCCCTCTCACTTTGGGCTCCACTCCAAACTGGCAGCTTCTGGGTGGTCGCCCCGAAAAAGGTCAGTGTAGGACAACCGAAAAGAGGCAACACTATGTCTAAAATCCAAAGAGACCCCAACTCTCTGTGCCTGGTAAATTCCCTTTTAAAACTTCATGGATGAATGTTTCATTACTTAATGTAAATTATAAAATCAATATTTTTTCACATCAAAGTACTAAGATTTCAAAGCGCTGCTCTATTATATTCATCAAATTTGGTGATTATTTTTCTCCCACTTCATTTCATTCCTTCCTCCATTCCTTATTTAAACCTCATCTACTTACAAAAGGGATTGAAAGTGCCTTGCCATGTGTCATTATTGATTTTTCCTGATAAAATGGTAGCATGAAGTTGCAGAGTAAGATAGACTCTTATAATATTCAAATAAGTTCATCACTTAGCTACATTTACTTTCTATATTATGAATCTATATGTAGAAATCTTCCCATTTGAAAAACTATTTAAAGACAGTTCAAATGCTCTTAGAATATTTAGCTCTTGTTGAGACAGCAGAATAAATACTGCCTTAATATAAGACTTTTTAAAGTGATTTTAACACAAATTGATTCTGAGTGCACCCAAAAAGTGCTTCACTTCTACAACTATTTATTGATTATCTACTGCGTAGGCTCTATGTGAGGCCCTAGAGAAATAAGGCCCAATCAATAAGCCATTAGAGTTTACAATCTAATAGGAGATATAAATAAGTAGATAGAAAATTACAATATAGCTTGATATGTTCTAAGACAGGACTAACGAGAGGGTGCTGTCATATTAGGGACCAGGGAAAACTTTCCAAAGGAAGTGATATCTAAGCTGAAGACTAAAGGGAGAAAAAAGTTGAAGCCACACAGACCAAGATGCTAGTACATGAAGGAAAGAGAGTGTGCTCTGGGCAGGGCAAAAGTGATGTGCAATGACCCATAAATCACAGAGAGCATAGCGTGTCTGGCTACTGAAGGCAGTTGCCTAATGCTGGCTCTTAGAATTGGGGTGGTGGTGGTGATGGTTGTAGCAGGAGAATCATGGAAATATGTATGTGGTAGACACAGATCCTTGCCTGTGTTACAGTAGGCTCTCCTTTCTCTGCTAACAGAACCTCAGAAAATTGGCACAGATCCATTGACTTAAGGACAGCTAGGAAATGAATCAAGGTAATTTTACTTTAATAAGCCATCAGAGATTTGGCCAATCAGATCTAAGGAGAAGTCAGCTGAAGCTTCCCTTGGAGCTAAAATCAGGCCCTCCCAAGGAGAAAGCAGTTGCTCCCTTCTTCCCTGACTGGGATGCTCACAGAGGCCTTAAAAACTGTCTGGACAGAGCTGCTATAGCCATCTTGTCATCAAGGAAAAGACCCAAAGAATTGAAAAGAGCTGATGAAGGCATTATCATGTAGTTGAGCTAATAAACTATCCCTAGAACTATCTTTGTCTTTGTCTAAACTTCTTGGTTTATGAAGGTATTATGAGGTTATGAAGAGATTAAAGATATTATGAGAATAATATCTTTATTATTTAAGTCTGTCAGTTTTTGCCTATGTATTAATTGGTTTGTTCATTTTCTGATTGTTGAGTTTTAAGATTTATTTGTATATTTTAAATGTTTTGTATATTTTATCAGAAGTTTTTTGAAAACATCTTCTCCTAGTCTGTGGCTGATCTTGACAGTGTCTTTTGCAGAACAGAAAAATTTATTTTTAATAACGTTCCATTATCCTTTATTTTCATAGGTTGTGCCTTTGGTGCAGTATCAAAAGAATCGTCACCAAACCCAAGATTACCTAAATTTTCTCCTATGTTATCTTCCAAGTTTTATAGTTTTGTGTTTTACACTTAGGTCTATAATCCATTTTTTGAGTTAATTTTTATGAAAGTTATAAGGTCTATGTCTAGATGTATTTTGGTGCATGTGAAGGTCCAGTTGTTTCAGCACCATTTGTTGGAAAACCTATCATTTCTCTATTAAATTACTTTTATTTTTTAAAAATATGTTTTTATTGATTTTAAAGAGAGTTAAGGAGAGGGAGAGAGACAGAAACATTGATAAGAGAGAAACATCAACAGGCTGCCACCTGCATGCCCCCTACAGGGGATCGAGTTTGAGGAACTTTCAGACCATTTTCCTTCTTTTCCATTCCCATCAGCAATGCATGAAGGTTCCTACTTCACACCCTCACCTGGATTTACCGTTAAGCAACATTACTTTGCTAAGAATGGTGGAAAGGAAGAATAGGGTCACACCCTGATAACTTAGTGGAGATCATACAAGCTCTGGACTGCCTACTTCCCAATTACTCTCCCCAGTCCATTTTTAATTTTTTAAATTTATTATCATTTTAAATCATTTTTAATGTGCAATAAAATAAACCTTTAACTCATTTAATCCACTACTATTCTGGGTCTCTGTTAATGGCAACCTGACAGAATTCCTCATTCATGTGGTCTTCTTAGCATATCTTGAACCTGGGAAGCCATCACAAACAAACAACAAAAAACAGCCACCACTGAATTGAAATGTAAGGATTTTTTTCTGTGGAGAAGTTTCTTTGTTATCCTGTTCCACTCTGGAAAATGTACATTATTTCCTTCTTAACTTTATATCCTATCATTCAATAGCCATTCTCTTCTTAGATATTGTTTCAGCTCTGCTTGGCATCTTGTGGGTGCTCTATGCCAGTGAGACAACCTGATACCCAGAAACAAATGGAAGTGTTATAAGTGGAGCAATGTTTTAAATGGGAAGAAAAGCACTCATTGTGGCTTATGTAGAACAAGCATGAACTTACTACTATTTTCTTCCTCAAATATTGTCCTAAATTTTAGGACAGCATTAATAACAATGAAAAGTCATGTAAAGCTTTATCTTAAACTCTCTGGGAGCCTAAGGAATTTCAGTGCGATGTTGACCAGGTAGTGCTGTATCCCATATCTGTTCACCTTTAGACATGGTTTTGGAAGCCACTTTGAGCCTCGTTGGCAGGTTAGACTCATAGCTCAGGTTTTCGCCTTGATCTTTGGAAAAGTAAAATGAAACCTGAGTCGTCAGTTATATAAATCAGCTTTTTAGCCCACTTCCCCTAGTGCATGTGTTCCAAGTAGCTGTATTTTGTGGGGATACTGTGAACACACGCACAACCTGCCATTCTGCTGGACTCTCGTAACAAATGAAAATACCACAAAGCCAGTCTTTGATAGAGTTTCTAATACTTTTCCCTGTAACTAGCAAATCAGCACTGGTGGAGAGGAGAACATTATAGAGTCAGGGAATTTTATTATCTATTTCTCTCTCAATATCTTAATTAACTGATTAATATATTCAGCCAACATTTGTTGAGCACCTACTATGCTTAAAAAATCCATTCTGTTAAAAAACTATAATCTCTTTTTTTTCTTTTTAAAGATTTTAAAATTGATTTTGAGAGAGAGAGAGGAAATGAAAGGGAGAGAGAGCGAAATATCAATGTGAGAGAAACATTGATCAGTTGCCTACTGCACGCCCCCTATAAGGGATGGAACCCTGCCCTAGCCAGCTTGGCTCAGTGGACAGAGTGTCAGCCTGCGGACTGAAGGGTCCCAGGTTCGATTCCGGCCAAGGGCACATGCCTGGGTTGCAGGCTCGTTCCCCAGTGTGGGGTGTGCAGGAGGCAGCCAATCAATGATTCTCTCTCATCATTGATGTTTCTATCTCTCTCTCCTTCTCCCTTCCTCTCTGAAATCAATAAAGAAATATATTAAAAAAAAAAAAATAAGGGATGGACCCCAAAACCCAGGCTTATGCTCTGACCTGAATCAAACAGGCAATCTTTTTGGTGTGAGGGACCATGCCCAACCAACTGAGCCACACTGGTGGGGCCTAATCTCTATTTTTCAAACTCTTAATAGGTGTTACACATAAGTTAATGGCTCTTGGAATAAAATATTTTAAAATAAAATATCTTAATAATTTCTCTTTTGCAAGGAAGCCTTTTTTTCTCATTTTAAGGGTTTTGCTTTTTATCCCCCCCACTCCACCCCCTTTTCCTTCTTACAAAAAGGAAAATCGCTGAAACCGGTTTGGCTCAGTGGACAGAGCATCGGCCTGTGGACTGAAGGGTCCCAGGTTCGATTCCGGTCAGGGCATGTACCTGGGTTGTGGGCACATCCCCAGTAGATGTGCAGGAGGCGGCTGATCGATGTTTCTCTCTCATCAATGTTTCTAACTATCTCTCTCCTTTCCTCTCTGTAAAAAATCAATAAAATACATTTTTTAAAAAAGGAAAATCATTTAGCTTGTGTTGTTAACAGGTCAGTTTGAATGCTTCTTATAAAAGCCAAATATAGGAGCAATGTTTTTCTCTCCCAAAAGTTCTCCTGAATCTCAGATTTTCAACAATGTGCTATTTCGTAGACCATATTGTTTATTCATAAACATTTATTAAAGACTTGATGTTTGCTCAGCTAAATATTTTGTGCCATACTGAGACAGGCTCAAACCTATCTATATAGGAATATATCCAAAGAATAAAGTCAACTTTAAAGGTTACATACATTTCAGGAACTGTACTATCTTGCCTTTCTACTAAAATGACAGCATCTTCTCCTATACATTTTCACTATCCATTTTGGCCAGCCACCTTTCTCTCTTGAGATGAAGCTAATTCTCTTGGTTCAGACAACCCTGGAGTCAAACTCCTATTCAATATCCTATTCGCTGAGGGCCTTTATGGCACTCTGGGCAGTCAGAGTTTTCATTTGTAAAACAGGAATAATAACTTTACCTACAGTAGTGGGTTGCTCTAAGGGTTAAATGTAAAGTACACAGCATGTGCCTGGCATGAACAGCCTATTCGTGTTAGATGGGTTTCAGATTTGTTTGCATCTTTATTCAGTAACCATCTTTCACTCCATCCTGTTGAATTGCTTACTTCAATGACTATTCAATAAACTTTTTAACACATATATAACATAACCAGGCATTGAGTCATAGCACATTGAGATTGCTTTTCAGCATTGATAATTTTGGGAAGTACCTATTCCAGCACTTTTTCTTCAGGTGATCCCTGCAGGGTACTCAAACACCGGGTTTAGTTCTTTCCTGATGACAAAGGATAAGAGAGGATGAAATTACCATCAGCATCAATAAGTTTAAGAGATATGTGGCTAAATGGGAATGAAAACATTACATACATATGCATACACACAGCTTTTTTTCACACAGCCTTTTTCCTTTCAGCCCAAACTTGGTTCACAGGTACAGGCCTCTGTAACTTTTCTTGGCATTGAAATCCTGAAGTCTCCTGCCCCCTAAAGCCACAGACATCTATAGTGGAAGCAAGTAGCAAGCCCTACACTGGACACAATGGGAGCCCTTCGCCCAGGCTCCCACCTGTCGCCCAGGTCATTGTGACGCAAATGCTATGGACACGTGGAACACCTTCGGGAGAGCAAGGGCGGGGTCACCCTGGGCCGCAGAAACCCGCGGGGGACACCCCAGGAGATGGTGGTCGAAGTCAGACCCCAGGGAGCAGAGAGATCTCCCCAGATCCCGGACCCGCCCCAAACTAGGTGAGGCCAGGGGCCCCTCCCTCATCCAGATCCCGGGGTCCTGATGGGGTGCGGGGGTGGGGCGGGGGGGTTGCCCACCGGGACTCTCAGAAGGGGAGAGATTGGGAGAGGGGTCGGTGGCGGTGCCCCATCCCGGCGCCCGCTCCCCCCGGCCGCTGCGCTGCGCTGCGCTGAGCTGCACTGAGCTGCGCTGCGGCGCTCGGGCTCCGCGGGCTGCCATTCCGGCTGGCGGCCGCCACCGCAGGAAGGGCCGGTTCCTGCGCTCCCCGCCCCCTTCCCTCGCCTGCCGCTGACGCTGACGTCGGGTGAGGGAGCTGGAGGGACGCTCCGTGCTCGGCCGGGAGGCTCCTGGGGGCCCGGGCTCCGAGGTACCTGCCCTCCGGGGCCGGGGTTGGGGCGCGCCGGGCGGGCTGCGGGCTGCAGCGGGGCGGTCGGGGGCGCCCGCCGGGACGGCCAGTCCTGCCCTGCGTGGGCGGCGGGTGACGGGCGAGTCGCCTGCTCCTGCCGCGGATCCCCGTGCGGGAACCGCTAAAGCCCCCTCCCCGCCCCCGCCGGCTCCCTGGGGCCCCTGGAGACCTGGCGGATGCGCGCCCGGGGAGCGGAGGGACGCGTTGCGGGCTCCCGCCCCATCTCTCGCCCCAGCGCAGGCGGCACCCCCACCCACGCCGCCCACCCCACCCCATCCCATCCCACCCCACCCCACCCCACCCACCCACTCAGCGCCTCGCCTCCCAGCGGCGGCGGCCCCAGGATCTCAAGGTCCTTGCATCCGGGGCGGACTTGTGGACGAGTTCACCTGCCGTGGCGCCTGGTGTGTGCCTTTTCCCTTCACCCCAGGACCCATCTTTGGCGGAGGTGGCAGGGAGCAGATGGGCACCGCTGTACCACCGCTGGTGCCGGGAGGTCTGAGCCTGGTGCCCTGCCAACGAGGTGGTCACCAGCCTCGGACCCGCCTGGAACCAGACACCCTAAGCAAGCCAGGTCCCTGCCAGCCCCGGCGCGCCCGTTTCCTCCGGGTGCTGCTGACTCCTCCTTTCCTGACCCCGGGCTATGGCAGCTCCCGCTTCCTCTTGCCGCGAACATATCCTGTTATTAAGCTGGCCCTAGCCCAGGACGACTCCCCGTGAACCGTTCGCACCTTTTACTTGGCGTGCTCCCTAGGCCCCTCGGCGTTTCTTTGGGGTCTTAAAAGTACTGCGCCCTTTCGCAGGTGGAATGTATTCACAGCCCGGCTGGGGAGAGTCCTCGTTTAGAAAGAGAATCAGGCTGTTTGGATGGCATAACAAATCAGTATGAGAAAGGCGCGGGGTGGCAGCCTTAGTCACTGAGATCTGGTAACTTCATAGAAATGATCAGGCCTGGAAAACCAGCCGCAGCTGATCTGAGACCGGCACTGGTGTAGGAAGAAAGGCATTAGCCATTAAGGCCCTATATATTGTGACTCATTGCAAACATGTTCGTGTCCAAACATTTCAGTGAAGCCTGTCAGAAAAATCTCAAATTGGTGTCCGTTGACTTTCAGTTTAGATTTTCTGAGATCTGGACTGTCCCCGGGGGTTGGGAGGTGAAATAGGAAACGCTTATTGGTTTGAAATTAATGCTCCAGACTCAGTTTCTTACCTTTGATTGAAAATACACACACATTCTAAACATCCTTTTAAACCAGTTTCTCTTTAGGGTTCAGTTTTTATTTTTGAAACATCGTGTATAGTATATACCATAGAGGCAAACTCAGTTTATAATCCTTAGTAGTTCAGATGCCACTGGTTTTTAGACCATCATATACATATATATTTAATTGCAAGAGATGTGGCTTTCTAAATGGATCTTTTTTTTTTTGCATTATATAGTTAAATATTTGTATTATTTATAGTAAAGTTAAAAGATCTTTAGAAAATGACAGTTAAGCTATTGAGTACAAATTATAACAGTGAAGAAACCTGAGGTTAAAAACACTGACTGCGGATACTTCACCCGCATTAAATGCTGAAGACATTGCATGGCAAATGCCTGGGCAATTTACTTCATCGCTGTCTTTCCCCCATTTGGTACACTTGAGTATCTAGCTGACTGCTTTCTCTGAGCATCTTTATCTTTCTCTGAGCGTTTCTCTCTCCACGTCAACTGTGTGAAAAATACAGAAACTTTTATTACCCAAAAGAAAACTTTTTGACTAAACAGTACTTTTTTTTCAGGTATAGGCAGTTTTATCAGAAGCAGGGAGGTGTGGCCACTGTGCAATGACAGGGCAGCGACAACCTGTGTTGATATGAACTTTACGGTTACAGAAACCTCATACAGGAGAAGTCGGGACATTAGTAGGCCCAGGTGGATCAGAGAGAATTTTTGCTCTTTACTAGTTGAGCTTCACAGCTAGAAGCCTTTAGATCAGTGCACTAGTCACTAGTGCACTTTTTACTCCATCTGCATTGTCAGATTTATGGGAACCATGGACAAGTTTGCTGTCTGCATGTTTTTGTTCATTAGATATCAGAGGTTACCAATTAATTAGGCTTATTCCCATCCCCATTCCCGTCTAGAATCTGCCTCAACAGAGCTTTAAATGCAGACTGCTACAGGGTAAACCTCCCCCCCCCCGCCCCAATTCCTCCCAACCTCAGCTGTCCCATTTTATACCACAATCATATCTAGCATCATGGAGGATGTGCAGAGGGCACACAGGCTTTGGATCCTAATGGAGCAGGATTGGCACCCCAACCATAAAAATAACTAGCCATGTGACCCTGAGCAAGTTACTTAAGCTCTCTACATCATTTCCCTACCTAGAGAGCAAGAATATCCACCTTGTGGTGTTGTGGTGGGGAGTAGAGATAATATATGTTGATCTTTAACAAATAGCCAGGTATTTCTCTAGAAAATGGGTTTATTCAGGAACAACAAAGAATTGCAATTCAGGGCATGAGGTCTAATGGCAAACCACCCCGAAGTCCAGAGAAACAAAGGAGAGGAATGCTCTTTATATTATAGAGTTGGGAGGAACTGTTGTAAATGAAGGGTCCATTCGAGGAAATTGAAAGTTTGAAGGATAGTGACTTTTAATTGGCTGAGTTATGGCAGTCTCCCATTGGCTGAGCTGTTACTGGGTGAGGAAGACTCTTCTTTCTCCTGCTGAGGTAGTAAAATAGTATCACTTCGTGTCAGAGATGCAAACTATGTCTCCTGCTGGGGTCAGTAGTGTTGTTGAATGACATCTGTGTGGGTTCTCTAAATGAGGTTTCTGTGTATTAATTTTCACATATATAGAAAATGTTCTGCCCAGTAAATAGCACTCAAGTAGTAGCAGTGAATTATTTTTTCACATACAAAACTTATGTGCTCTCTGAATCTGAAAAGGATGCTACTGCTTTTCCCCTGGCAAGAGGGAGGCTGTTCAGTTTGGTTGTCAGAGTTCAGGTGGTTTTTGTACCGATACTGAGAGTTTGGGCTTTCTGGAATACTTCTGATATTGGGGAGTACAATCTGTGGTCCAAAACCAAAGCAAAGCTAATTTGTTCCAGGGTGGATAGATCTTCCAAATCCCTGCTTCTCAGATGTGATTCATAGACCAGCAACACTGGCTTCCCCTTGGAGCTTGTTGGACGTGCAGAATCTCAAGTTGCCCACCAGGCTCACTGAATTTGAATCTGCATTTTAACAAGATCCCCAAGTGAGTCACATGTACATTAAAGTTTGAAAACTTTGTTGTAACCTGGCATTTATAAAACTTTTCTGTCCCATAGAATCATTTGGAGCTTGTTAAATGTGGATTCCCAGGTGGCTTCTCCCATCTCCTCCTGTTAGCACCTCAGGTGGCTTTGATGTCCAGGGTCCTTCCACACTCTTTGAGAAACAGTACACCAAGCTCTTTATCTAACACAGTGCTCTAAAGTGGGCCAAAGCCCTCTTTTTTTGAGAAAGCTGCATAGTCAGCCCCCTTTTATGTAAGTAGGTATTATAATCCCTTTCTATCTGATAAAAAATTAAGACAACCTGCATAAAATGCCCTGGATAATACATATGGTAGAAGCACCTTGAACCTCTGTGAATCCTAGTTGACCATGCTTTCACTACTCCAGCATCAAAGTATATGCACTCTATGTGTGTGTATAAGTAATTTTAAATATTCATGACTCTCTCTAGGACAGAAATGACTATACGGAATAGGGCATTTAATACACGCCTTTAACACAAAACCTTCCTTCTAGGCAACTATAGACAAGTTACTTAGGATAACTGATTTTGAGATTCACTCAGAAAATGAGGATTATGTCTACTCAGCACTGTTGTAAGGATAAGCATAATGTGCATGAAGCAGACATCGCAATGTCTGAAAAGTGTTAGCTCCTCAACTAATGGTAACTACGTGTCCCACTGTAAACCTAGTGGGAGAATGAGTTCATGGAAAGCTGAGAAAATGACATTGCTCCGGATGAGAAATCTCTCCTGCTAAGTCAGATGACTTTGTTCACCAGATCTTTGGCCAAATCAGAGGAGTAGGGTCACCACTCAGTTTTCAGCAAGCATTTCTTGTGTCTATGCCATGCACTGGATTGGTACTGGGAATCTCAAGACAAGTCCCAGACCCTACCCTGCTCCAGAGGATCCTAGAGCCTAGTAAGGGAGAAATAGAGAATGCAGCTGAGAGTTACATTTCAACAAAAACAGAGAGGGGAAAGCCCATGCCAGAGGCACCCGTCCCCGGTTGGGGAGAGAGCAGAGAAAACCTGAGAAGGTTCATGGAAGAGGGGACCCTTGAGCTGAGCTTTAAAGGACCAATAGGAATTCGGCAGGTGAAAAGGGTTGGGAATGGAGAGAAAGACTTCCCAACACAGTATGCAGGGTACAAAGGGAGAGAATACAGGTGGGAGAATACTGGCAAAGAGTCCTCATGCCTGGAGGCCAGTGTGCGTGTGTAAATCTTATTAGCTGAGTGACCTTGGGCAAGTTCAAATCATCTATGATTCGAGAGGATTAAATGTATTAATCAGGGTAAGCAAAGGCTTGATTTCACTTATGTGCTGAATAGTCCTGGTGGTGGTAGAGTTCTTAATGGGAAATAGGGGACTGATATTGTCGTTAGAATTACAGAAATTGGAGAGGCCAATTTTAGAATGCATCCAAAAGAAAATACGTAAAATTAAGAGAAAATGATTGAAAAAGACAACTGAATGCAGCACAATACTGTGGGTTGGGAGACACGAGGTATATGTGTTCAGTGATGGCCCACTGATTATATAGCTAATGGTATATTGCTAACCCCAAGAGTGTAGACTGAATGTGGAAACGTTCTCTCACGCTAGGTGGAGAGAGCATTTGTACAAGGAGTGACTGTGAAGTATTGCGGCTACTTTCCCGGAGCGAGCATTAAAAAGCTCTTCCATTTCTTACTACCATCCCTCACACCCACTTCTCTGTTCCCAGAATAGGGCATGGACACCAGTGTAGGAAACCTGAAGGTACTTAGGGGAAATCCAGCCTTCTCTGTGTGTTTCTGGGGAGTGCATCCTTAGCCAGAGACCAAGGAGCTCATTGTGGTAAATGGTCCCCCCTTTCCTTATTGGTTGGAACCCTAATAGCCACCAGGAGTCCATCAGCAAGGGTTTACTGTTCACAGCACCCTGGTGGTAATGGATTTGGGGCTAACACAGGGCCTGAGCCTGTGATTAGGAGAGGTTGTTTGTATAGAAACAGAGTCCATTATCCATCTCTTTCCTCCAGGAGTAGGAAGGAGTAGTTAAAAAAAGGAGCGCAGGTGCCAAAAGCAGATCTGAATTTGCTAGTTGTTGACTGTGGGTGAACTACTTCACCTTTCGAAGCTTTTCTTTTCCTTTTTAAAAAAAGTTTATTTTTCAATTCAGTCTACATTCAATATTATTTTGTATTTCAGGTATAGCACACAGTAGTTAGGCGATCATATACTTTGAAAAGTGTTCCCCTGATATTTCAAGCACCTACCTGGGACTGTATATAGTTATTACAAGATTATTGACTATTTACTATGGT